ATATATACTTTGAAACCAATGGTGATGAAGCTACTATATGAGGGACACATATTCGAATTCATTGAATATGAGTTATTTTACTATTCATAGCAACCATCCATACATAATATTTTATTTAAAAAATAAATTCAAATTTATTGTAACAATTGTTTTCCTTTTCATGAATGTTGAAGGTTCATATATTTTCAACTTCTTGAACTATTTCAAATGTACCCAAAAAAAATTATATAAAACTCTATTTAAATAAGTGTGTGGTTACATTTTGCATCATTCAATAATTATGAAATTAAATTGATTGCAACTTACAAAATAAAACTAATATATAAATTTTTTTTAATGCAAACTTTATTCACATCTAATTTTTTTATCAAACAATTTTAAAAAATAAAAATATGAAACTACAATTTTTTATTAGGTGATATCATTCTTCATATCTGCAATATGGAGAATAGAATATTACAGATATATGGCCTCAAGGCACTATTTAGGAGTTGTTTTCCTTTAGATTTATTTGCCTCCCCAGTTCTTGAGATGCAAAATAGGTTGATCAAATAGTCAAAAAGATACAATAAAGACCTTTTTGGAATTCACTTTGAAACCATTTATCTTTTTTAAAGAGTGTGTTTGGACGGAGAATTTTAAAATTTTAAAAAATTCGAAATGAAAACATTTTAAAGTACATTATTTTTGTAATTATTTTGTTTAGATAAATATTACTTAGAAAGAAATTTAGTCTATTAGAATTTGATGAGATAAAAATAATTATAAAAAAAGAATAATGATATTAAAGATAAAAATATATATATTTATAAATAAAATATACAATATGAATATCATTGGATTTGTAAAAATATATAGATATTATTAATAATATAAAAAATAAAAATACATATTAGAGTTAAATAAAATGATATTTATTTTTTCTTAGTTTTATATCTTACGGTGGATCATGTGCAATAAGGAGCGAAAGGATTTGGAAAATTTTTTAAAAACTACATATTTAGGTAGAATTTAAAGAGGTAATTAGAGCACCATAAATTCTTTTATGAAATTGCACTTGAATTTTAAAATTCTATCTTATTTTTAACTAAATAAGTAAATTCATTTTTAAACTTTTAACTACTTTTATTGAAATGAAATCCCTTCTATAAATACCTCATCCAAACACACTTTAATAGACTTGTTCCTGTTTTAAGAGTGAGATGAAGAAAGAATAGCACATTTGCTCATGTTTTTCAAATCTATGAAATTGTTCTAACCATAAGTATTTATAGAGAATTTATCCAAGGGTCATGTCCTTTTAATTAAATTGTTTCATCTTACAATCATGTTATTTAATTAAGAATACATCTTTTTGAATAATCATATATACTTTTTTACAAGTGATTAATCAATTAATGAAAAATCATGGTTCAATTGTGTAGATACCTCATTTTGTCTGAGATTTGTTTGGAAAAAAAAAAAGGACCTTCAACTATTAATTGGGTTTGATTGGAAAGCTTTAGGCTGGATAGAAAATTTTATTTTATTTTATTGTATTAACATTATTTCATTTTTATTTTATTTATTTTATTTTTTTAAAAAAAGTCAACAAGTAAAAAAGGGAAAAATAAAAAATATATAAAAAAAAAGAAAATTCATGTTTTGGGAAATCGTCAAATCTACAGATTAATGAAATAATTTTGGAAATTAAATCTCCAGGAATCAAACTCTAAAAATCAATGAAATTAATTGGGCAAATTTTTCCAAAATTAAAAGATGTTTGATTTCTATAAACCAACAATAATCGACCACACAAAAAGGGGATTTGGACATAAAAATGGGAAAGGGTTTTTTATTATGTGGTTTCTGGAAATCTTAAGGGGTTTTTAGGGTTTAGATCTTTTTGTTTTTTGAGTTTTGATCTTTGAAATTTTTGAAGGGATGCGTTTTAGTTATGGGATTCTTGGATGAATTTTAGGACAATTTATGGGATTTTTTTGAAAGATCTGGGCAATTTTAAGGCATTAAAGGCTTTCTGTTTTTTGGTACATTTTTGGAATTTGTTAGGTTTGGCAAGGTTTCTGGGTAAATTTCCAGGTACTTTGAATTTTTGGGAACTAAGGTCTTTTGGATATTTTGGAAAATTTTTTCTAAATTTTTTTCTTTTTTTTGGAAAATGTTTGAATTTTCTGGTGGAATCATGGTGGTCGAAATGGTGGTTTCTAGGTAGATCTTAATCTCATTTGAAGATTACAATTGCCATTTGAATTTCACGACGCTAGAATTTGGGTTCATCCTCACCAGTTGAAGTTTTCGACAAAGATTCTTAGAGAGAATGCAGAGAAACTATTTCTAAAGAGAGAGAGTTTGAAGTTTGATGAAAAAAAGCTAAGAAGTGCATTTTATATCAAGGCAAAACGACATCGTTTTAGGAAGTGCTTGACAAGCATGTGACCCATTAATTGGTGTGCTGACTAGTGCTCTGACTCGATCCGCAGCATAGGTATTTTCCTTACTTTTTTCATTTTATTTTCTAATTTGCTTCGATTTTGATTTTATTTTTCCTATTTTATTTTGATTTAATTTTATATTTTTTACTATTATTTTTTATTATTTAAAATTGAATAATACATTATTTTATGAATTTCATTTTATTTATTTATTCGATAAAAAATATTTATAAAATAGATTCATGAATTCTATTAAACTATTAGAGAATTTCATAAATCAATTTTTAAAAAATATTATTGATAAAATACTCTATTTTGAACTTATCAAATTATTGAAGGATTTGCATTTTACATTAAATCTTACCAAATTATTGGAAGATTTAATGTATTTCCTAAAAAATAAATTTACAAGTAAATTTGATCAAACTATTAAGAGATCTGCATCAAAATAAATCTTATCAAACTATTGAAAGATTTTACTAATTATTTTCTTGAATAAAAAATATTAATAAACCTGATGATGAAGCCTCTTTAGAGTAAATTACTAATCTCTATAAATACTCTTAAGATGAGTAATTTATCTTAAATTGCTACTAAATTATTAGAGTAAATTTAGGATTAATTTTTAATAATTAAATGATATAGTAAAATTATAAGAATATTTTAAGGTTTGAATAATTCAAAATCAAACTGATATCATTTTTTGAATGGTGATATAATTTTTCTTATACATAACCGTACTCTCGAACCAAAATCTAATTTTGTAGATTAGAATATATTATTTAAAGATATTTAAGTCAATCTTGAAATTTTTTTTTAAATGAGATAGATTCTATAAGATAATCAATTATATTTAAATAAAAAATATTAATAATGACTCATTTAATTTATATCTAGTGATAGATTAATGAATCTATACATTATAACAAATTATATGTAAATTTAGTATATCATTTGAAAGATATAGATTTTCGTCGAGGACAACTGACTTTTCCTAAAGGATAATTGATTGCTCTTTTGTAAAACATAGTAGTTTCAAAATGCTACGGATAGCAGGGTACTCGACCGTTGTCTTAGGACAATCGATTTTTCTAAATTTTAGAATGGTTCGTGAGTTATAGTAGTCGACTTCTTTCTTATTCAAAATATTTTTAACATAAGGCCAGTTGATTTGTTGCTAAAAGCAATCGATTGTTTGGTTAAATTTTGGAACAAAAAGCGATTGTCTGGCTTCATTTCCAACTATAAAAGTCGACAGCCCTAGAGTTGAGAATTGATTACTCCTTATGGCTAATACATGACAGTCGACTCATTAAGTATAGCAATTGACTGTCCCTGTTGATAAGTTTTCTTAATTAAATTTTTTTTTATCATGGAACTTTTTTGAGCTAATAAATAATATAATTAAGTTATTCTTTCATTTATTCTTTTAGTTAATTTTGAAAATATTTTCAACAATCTCCACTTATCTTTAAATGAAAAAAAATGAAGATTAATAGAAAATTGATCAAAAGCAAACTATTTTTGTACTTAACAATCTCACGTTATGGAATCTGAAATTTAATTTAAATAATTTATATAATCACTTTTAAAAAATAATGTTCAATAAATTTAGAGTTTGAATTTCAACACTTATAATTTTTTAATTTTCTTAATAATATTTCAAGTCTCCAATCAAATATTAAATGTGTTTTTTTTTATAATTAAGTTTACCAAAGATTGAATCTTACTCCTTGAAATTAAGAGTAAATACTCCACTATCAAATTATATGACTAGTGATTTTTTTCCTTAATTTTTTTTTTTAAAAACTAATTACAATTTATTTCCCTTTTAATTAGATGTCATGTTGTCTTGCAATCTTTTTTCAACACAAGGATCATATTAGAATTACTTTAAAAAATATATTTATTTTTTTATTAGGATAAAAAGGTATTTTTAACTAATGATTTATACGCATAAATTTAATTAATTTGTGAAAGTTTTTATTTCAAATTTTTAGGATCAAAAGAATCTAGAAAATCTCATACTTCATTTAAAGATGGTGTGATTAATAATTTTATCATTAATTTAAAATTAATGTTATTTTTATGCATTTAATATTATCATAATAATATTTTTATAATTTTATATACCTTTTATTTTTTATTAATAATTTTTTACACATATATTTATATTAATAAATATGATAGAATACATGATATGAAAAAATTATTAAAATATAATTATATATATATTAAACTTAATTTTAAAATCTTAAAATTCTAAAATTTCTTTCCTACAATAACTCAATGTCTCGGACAGCACATCAGCACTTAAAAAAAGAAAAAAAGAAAAATGTGCTTCTTATTATAATGCTTTATTTTATTTCTTTATTAAAAAAAAATCATTACAATTTGAAGCGCAAGCAACCATATCAATATAAAATCATTCTATTTTAATTATATTTCCAATTTGATTATAAAATTAAATTAATTGCAACTTGCAAAAAATTAAATTGTTTAGATCTAATCTTGTTCCGGCCGATTTTAAAAAATAAAAAATAAAAATATAAAATTACAAATTTATTAGGTAATATTATCTTCAAAACTTTGACAATGGTACATTTGCCTCTCTATATAATTTCCTCCGCGGCCTTCTCTCTTCTTCCTTGTGGCACCCACCCTTTCTCTGCTTTACTCTTTTTCGAAGGGTTCCTTCAGGTAATCTGAAAATCAAATTTCCTCCTTTAAATAAAATTAATCATATAATTTTTCGCAAAATTTTATTTTATTTTTTTGTTGTATAGATCTGGCCTCTTTTTGATTTTCTTCCTAATTTTATTCCGTTAGAAACAATTCTGTTTTGAAGTCAAAGTTCAAAGCGTTTCTATAACAGATCTGATGAGTTTTTAGCTGTAAAGGTTGAATTTCCCTTCTGGGTTTTTCATTCTTAGTTCTTATCTCTTAGTTAATCCCTCATGTTTCGGATTTTCTTTTAATCTCTCTTCTTAATCGTATAAATCCTGGGTTTTACAACAATTGACCCCAAATAAACTTGTGATTTTTGAAGGTCTGGGCCTAGATCTGTGTTTTTATTTGTGTTTTCTTTTTTGGATGGTGTGAAAACGAAGGAAATGAAAGGAAAAAAATTGGTTGTCTGTTTTGAGATTTTAATTGAATTTTTGATGTTAGATCTGGTTGTTGACTTTTTGTTTTGGTTGTTTGAATAGGCGTTCTTTTCGAAGTTGTGGTTTTTTAGGAAGATGAATCATTGCAATCTTCAGCAGAACGCCGCCGTCTCGGCTTATGAAGAGATGAGAGGGTTGATCTCGATCTCTGATCACCAAAAGGGCGGCTCCGTTGTTTGCCCTAAGCCTCGGCGAATTGGGGTTCTGGCCAATAACCCTATCAGATCCTTTAGATTGCATATGAGGTATAATTTTCTTTTTTCTTTTTTTTTTTATTGTCTTTAATTTGTTTTTTGGTCGATTGGGGTTGTGATTTAATTGATTTTTGGGCTTTTAATTGCAGTTATCAAGCCGAGGTAAACGATTCAAAAGCCGGTGCTGAGCTTCTAGATATCATTCTCAAGAAGGTATCGTAGAATCTGATGATCAATTTTTTTCATGCTTTTTTAGTTGTTTAATTGCTTAATAAGTCTTTGTTTGAAATTTTGGTCAAATACTTCCAAAGTTGATATCACTACGATGTTATGATCCTTTAAACATTAGAACAAAAATTTCTAGACAAATTGAACTTACCCATGTCAGACAAGTAACCAAATGAAGAAGTGAATTGATATTTGTGTTCGAGTTTGAGCAATATGCGTTGATGTGTTTGTTTCTAGGATGGACTTGTTTTAATATGCTTTTTGGTTTTGGTTCTGCAGGAGGATTTGGGGACACAACAATCTGCAACACAGTTAGCATCATCACCTCCATTTTTTTGTGGGTCGCCTCCAAGTAGGGCTGAAAACCCACTTGTGCAAGATGCTCGATTTGGTGACGAAAGACTCGCAGCGCTTTCACAAATTCCATCCCCATCGTCTCCATCATCATCATCATCAGCACGTAAAGGAGGGTGTGTTAGGATGAAATTTGGCCTTAAACCGGCCGCGGTTAGAGTAGAAGGATTTGATTGCCTTAACAGGGATCGCCAAAATTCCAGCATCCCTGCTATGGCTTAGAACTTAAATTAAAACCCAAGTGTACATAGAAGGGAGCTAAATGCCACCATTTCAGCAACCAAAGCAGGCTTAACAAGGAGGGAATTTTGGATATTTTTGGGGAAGAATGAGAGGGAAAAGAGATCATTTCTGTCTAGTAGTGTATATAAGATGTGTTTTTTGGTCAGTTAAACCGATTCGATTTGCTAATAGCTCTGTAAGTAGTTTGATTGAAGGGAAGACAAGTGAAGAAAGGTTTGACTTATGCTGGGATTGAGCAATGATCATTTTGTAATATATATATGAGGGTTAGTATTGGTAGAGGGTGGATTGATATTTGATTTTGGAGATCACCATGGAAAAAAATGGAAACTCTGTATAGATAGTGTTGGTGATTGAATTTTGCTCACTCTGTAAATGTATTCTGGTAATTTTCAAATTTCCTTGTTCTTGTGAACATGTGTATAATATTTATGTTTATTATCACGTATTAGATTCTGAATTTTCTGCATCTGGGTGTATTCTCTTGGATTGTATAAATCTGGTTATTTGCGTGTTCGTATAACATAATATATATATATTCGTATATTTATGTGTTGTTTTATATTAAAATTGTGTGATATAATCTGAATCGATATAAAAAAATAAAATATTTATTTTTATTTTATTAAATTTATATATAATTAGAGATATAAAAAAATAAAAAATAAAAAGTAAATTTAAAATTATAATGTTGTTTAGATATTTATTCGATTTGAATTAAATTTAAATATTAAATATAAATCAAATTCAAAAATAAAAAATAAAAATTTTAAAAAATTAAATTAAATTATATGTTTTTATTAATTTTTATATATATTATAAATTTTTATAAATAAAAATAATTGTTTTATTTTTAAAATTAATTAATATATTAAAAATTTATATTAAAATAATATATAAAAATAAAAAATAAAAATAAAATTTAAAAATTAATTAATCAAATTAAAATGAATCAATAAAATTTAATTTAAATTAAATTATATAAAAAATTAATTCAAATTAAATTTAAATTTAAAAATTTTATAATATTATAAATTATTCAATAAATTTAAATATTAAATTATTATCATTATTATATATAATTAATGATAAAATTTTAAATTATATTATATTTATATTTTTTTGTTTTATATTACAATTTTTATTCACGTCTTATCGTATCCTGAATGATGTTTAATTGTGAATGATGTTTTCCACCAAAAGAAAATAGAAAAAAAAAAAAAATCCTGAAACATATTAATAGCTCTCCTTTTTTCGTTATTTTCCTTTGATCTAGACAAGACACGTTTGCTTTCAGCTACAAACACTGCACATGTGATGTCTGCTAATGTTGGTGCCCAAGACACTATAATTGCCTACCGATGATTGCCCTTAGCCCCTCCTGATACGATTTTAAGCTTTTTCTTGTCTGTCCCTACCCTCGCAAATTAGATATATATATATATATATATATATTTTGATATTGTGGTTGCGGATTTAATCTCCTTTTGACAGATTTTGAGAATGCATTTTCAAGAATTCAACAAATATTTTTATTATTTTTTAAATAAAAAATATATATTTATTAATTTTTATATACTCGACGTATTAATAAAAATACAGATATTTTTATTATTGTTAAAAATATGACCAGTGGATATTTCCGGTTCTTCACCTAAACTAGTCCTTCACAAGTAAAACGACACGTTTCCATAGCAAATCGATGGCAACTGAGAAGGTATTTAAAACTACGTCGTTGTGATTGATATTCACTGACATCTTAAAACATTGGTTTCGTTACAGTCAGCCAAACTTTCCAACGCGCCTCTGTTTCAAAGACTTGAACCATTCTCTTTGCCTTCTTCTTCACATTCAATTGTAAGTTTATAATCTCTATTAATTTTCTACGTTAGAAACTTTAAACTTTATTATTTATTGTTTATCTTTTTCTTTTTCTCTGCCTTACGCGTATGGCTGCTTCAAAATTAACAAAGCCAATGACTTAATTTATTGATTACATTTTGAATTCAAATCAAATATTCATTGCTAATTCACACCTAAAAGGTCACTTCCAAACAAAATTCTCTGTCTTTACTATTTTTTTCTTTCTTTTTGCCGTTTTCTTAGTGCCCATTAGTCATTGTTTAATACATGAAAGTTAGCCGGCAATTTTGACACTTTGTTTGAAGTTATTAGTTGATGTTTTTGATTAATAAGTTTTTTACTTGTTTGACTAGTAGACTTCTGGGTCAGTTTCAGCTTTGAATTTTGTTACCTTTATGGTGTTGTGTTGCAACTCTACATGGATGGAATTATTATGGGATATATAAAGAATAGGTCAATTATTTTTTATAAGATGAATTAAGGTGGAGAATCGTTTTACTTTTTTACTGGGGAAATGTTTAGAACTTGAGATTCTAATTGGGAGGTTTCTATGGATGGAGGTGAGTCGGGGTTAGAACTTGTAATTCGTGTATCATTGTCGTTTGTTTTTTTTTTTAAACACTTGTAGGACATGAAAATTGCATGTTACAATTCGTGTTAACATGGAAACATATTTTTGGTTTTTGTCAAAATTTTAAACTCTCTTTCATTTTTTTTATCTTCTTGTCATGTCTAAAATTGCTTGGTCTAAAAAGAATGATATGATAACCTAAAATGTCTACTAGGAGACACCCCATTGGTTAAAGTTTGATATTTTTACTTAGAGGTTTCAGGTTAGAAATCTATGGATGACATGTTTTCTTGTGTAGTGGAAGCGACTTATTTCCTGTTGTTCAACCATGGACCAAAGTGTCTACACATGAAAAAAGAACGCTACAATTAGAATTAGGAAACTGTTGAATCCATCAAGACTTTGGTTTCTTTTGGTGCATTGGATAATGAATTGGATGGGATAACTATTATCTAATATGGATTCTCCTGTTGGGAGAAAAAAGGGATCAGTTATTGGGCTGATCATCATACATGGTTGGATTGAGCTATTCACTTCTTTCTGCTATCCTATCCTCTTTATAATCTACTCTACTAAATGTTCTCATAATGTTTAATGTTTAATTTCTTGAGTTAGATTACATTCCCTATCTTTTTCTTTAAAAAATGAAAAAAATTCTTCTATTTGTTGACATATAATTGAAGGTGTGAACTATTCCTGGATTTATTCAATTGGAAAATGTTTGCCTTCCTAGAACTGTTAAAAAAACTTTTTTTCCATCATTTATAAACGTCCATTCTTTTTGTTGCATGGATTTCAATTTTTGGATGACGTAATACAATAATATCTTGCCATTTTAGGCCCGGAATTAGTAAAGAATGAGCATAAGTGTAGAATTTTGATAGTTCACATTTCTCTTTTCTTCTTCTTCTTCTTCTTTGCTTCTTAGGAATCATTATAGATGATTAGCTGGTTAAGTACCTTTGAATTTGTCAACTACCTAAGGTAGTTAAGTATTTAACATTCTATTTCTATAAGTATAATTATGTCTATTTCCTTTTGTTTTTGTGTAAATGTATGCTCATTGCATTATGTCTGGTTGTTTAGTTGACATTTCACATTTTGGGTACTTCCACCCTGTTAGGAGCTTCTTGCCAACAGTAAGGATCAATCAAAAGTTGTTCATTTATATGAGCTTAAGAACAAGTTTGTCAAATTTGTTGGATAACTTCCTTAAATTTTTTCTTCTTCATATGCTTTTGAGTACCACCCTTAGTCAATTTGAGGTTCAAGCTGCCTTGCCTCAACTTACTTTAGTTTCCAAACGACCTTTTCTGAAATTAATCCGAGATGGCTAGGTCGTGTAACTTGCTTACATTTTATCTTACATCTTATTCGCAAAGAATGCAGCTTGGTTCTTATCGCCAAATTGTGTCATCTCTCCAGTCATGCCCTATAAGTATAGAGTGGTGATTATGATTGTAAACCAACACAGAATCAGATGTAGAGTTATAACTTTCAGGATCCAACTGAATTGTCATGTAGCTCTCCCCTTCTTTTAGAAAAAACTCAACTTGGTGGCAAATACTGCTTTTGCATTTGATGCTGTCTTTCCAGCTTCATGACTTGATTTTACTTCAAACTGTATAAAGGTGCCTTTATGTCCAATTATTGAAGGTGATTTTGAGAATTAATGGAAAATTTACCACAATTAGTATGCCACTTTCTGCACGAAATCTCTGTGTGTTTCTTTTAGAAAACAGTTTGGGAAGGTTAATATCATCCCTGAAGATATGTCTTCTCTTAACTTGTTGTCAAATTTGGCAAACCTTTTCATTTCTGGATTTGTTTCGGATGGTTAGTAATTTTTCAGCTAATGTCATTGAAGATGCTTGCTTTTAAGTGTTACATTCCTGATCTTCACTTAATGTGGCTTCATGTGAGAAATGCATGTTATGTGGACGACATGATTCTATCTCTGGTTGTTTGAGAAAATGGAATGTAACTTTCTCTTTTTTTGGGTCTTTGGATTTTGCATTTAATGAATATGTTTCTTCATTTTTTGAATAAAAGAAATTAACCTTTTGAAGGTACTGTACATATTTGCAAAGGTAACCTAAAACAATTATATGGTAATGTAAATACATGAATAGTTTCCTTGCTAGCAAGTGAATAATGGGCTAGACTAATAGAGAAGTTCTCATTTTAGCATTAAAATCTGAAACATTAAGACACTAGTTATAAATGCAATGCATAGATCTTTGCTTTCCAAGTAAGTGATGTGGTGTGTCATGTTTCCTTTTTTAATGCTTTAGGCAAATGTTATTTCTGTTTTCTTTCCATCAGGGTAAATATGTAATGACATATCAGACAAAAGAACATTCTCTCGGTACAAAAAAGGAAAAGACTATATGTCATGTCAATAGTCTTTGACATGCTAGTATCTCTTATGTCTTACCCACATCTCTGCCTTCTTGTCCAGGATATCCTTTACGTCTTTAAACTTTGCCACTTCAGTTTTCATTTCTATTTCATCACTTATTGCTGCCCTTGTGGTTGATGACATTTGTAGTGTTACATTTAACCCATTCAAGGATGGACTGCAGTTGGGGGGATGGTAGTCCTGCTACCATGCAAATTTCTACTTCAAAATTTTACAGCAAGTAATGTTCCATGAGGCCAATGGGAGTAAAGAAATGATACTACTACCTCTTGTCTCTTTTTCTATGTTGTTTCTTTGTTTGAATTACTCAAATGCCCAATTACTCTCTCTCTCTCTCCTTTCTGCTACGATAGTTGATCATAAAACCTACCCCCATCCCAGTTGTTCGTCACTTGTACCGAGCCCTAGGGAAGAGAGAATTTCTTTTATTAGCATAATACATGCTCATGATTCAGGGGAGTCTCTTGTGGACAGCCTTTATTACTTGTAACCTTCGTCATTGAAAGTAGATATTTTAGACATCAAACAAGAATTTTGGCTTGGCGAAGGATAAAAAAAAGGATAGAGTATTGTGGTTAGTAGAACATTTAAGAGCATTAACTTTGAAATTCAGCCTAGATTGATAAGCTGATGTCTAGGTCATGAATAGACTGAGATGTTCAATTGACATGAAGGAAACTTATAGGGTTTGGAATTTTGCAATTTCTCTTAGATTCCATAACCTTTTTTCGAACATTACTATGCTTAATTATCTTTGGCATGTTTATTTTTATGTGGCTGAACTATCTACGCAATCCATTATGGAATCATCTTAAGTTATTAATAAACTATTACCTTAGTCACTTCTGCCAAAATAGGTTTCATTTATTACCAAAATTGATTTTCATTTTTCGCCTGGGTTGTGAGGAGGGAGCATGGGAGTGATTATTTGTTTGGCAAATAAGGAACATAATTGAGTATTCCTGGAACATGGTTTCCCTCTTTATCTTACTCACAAATGTATGGATCCCATCTACGAGTTTCAGAAATTAGCGAGTAAGAAGTATTATACCATTGGAGTACTTGATGTTACCTGTCATTTTGGTTTTTCTATGATATTATTATATTATCCTTAGCATTTGGCCAAGTTCTTATCAATAATTTTTAAACCAGGTTGAATTTTCTGGATTGTTCTCTTTGTAAAATGGTTTGGCATTTTATGTATGTCGACATGGTAACAGCTATCAATTTTTGAAGTTTTAAATTTAATGTAGTATTTGCAGACATATTTTGCACTCTCTTTCATGATAAAATTATAAAATTAGGGATCTTTACTATAACTAGCAGGGAACTTTAACCGTCTTGTAAATTTCAGCTGTGGGCATTCCATTTAGAAATGAAATTCAGTCTAGGTTTGAATGCTATATTGTGCTAGGAAATGGCAAAATTCTTTTATAATATTCTTCTTTCCGGTCCTAATAGGCATCCAGAATGTCGTCTGAGGTATGGCTATGTGGCTATTCCCACTTGCTAAGGTAATTTTGGTGGTGATGCTTCTTTAAGGTATCTAAATATTTTCAGGTTCTATAGATATCATGCTCTCAAGTAATATCACCACCCTAGCTAATGACAAAGTAGAAAGTCAGGGTCCATGAATTGTAATAGTTAGAAGTGTACTTCTGGTTATGTCTGATGAATGTTGTGTTTCTATGACTTGTTCGGTAATATATTAAGACAGTGTTTTTCAATTTTGATTAGTAGATATTAGACAAGGTTTGCAAAACTGTAAAATTTATCCTTGTTGAGGCTTATTGAATTGAAAATTGTATGATACTGTTGGTTTTGGTTATGGTGATATTTAATCACCCTAAAAGCCAGAAAATAAAAAGAACACAAAGGGTGTTATAAGAGTTTTTGCTGGAAAAGCTGTCACAAACTCTGATATTTCATTCAAAGGATATTTATGCAATACAAAAGCAAAGTTTCAAAGTAATTACCTATCTATCAACTGCAAAGTACAAGTTGTCTCCCTCTAGCTTACTTAATAGAATGGATAATCCCTAAAATACTTAGTCACAACAAATTTTATAATTTAAAAAACATACGAAGTCATCAAAAGGTCACCAAAATCATGTTTCTAATTTCCTAGTCGTAGAGTCAGTCATTATGTTTAACACTCCACCATGGTTGCTTTGCTGCAAACTCCAATTTGCTTCCTTAATAGCCAAAATTTGACTTTAAGTATAGACATGACAATTCATATTTTTGTGTTGTAATCACATCGTGTCTAAACAAGGTATCAGGGGTTACATGGCTAAACACAAAGCGATTAATTAAATGTGTCAAGATCCTTAACATGAACACATATACTTTAAATATACGTGTTCTACAATTAAAACATTTAAAACAAGTTGGTTTAAATTTTATACGACATGATTTTAACACAATTAAATACGGTTAACACAATTATTTATTCTTTAAGAAATATCCTATTTAAATAAAAAATTAGTTTTTCTTAATTTAATAACATACATAAAAATAAAATCATAACTCCATCATTCAAATTTAAAATTAACAAAATAATAGTATCCATAAAATATGTTAAAAAATCTTCAAAAAAATGTTTTATCAACATCAATCATAATAAACATGTCATATTATAGAGGTCCATATGGTGACACGGCACAACATGATTAATTAAACTTGTTAAACGTGTCATAATTTTGTTAAGTGTTGTTAACGTGTTTAAGATACAAATTGCCGTGTTTTAAATGTGTTGATACAATTAAAATATGAAATATGATTCAGCTAAACCCATACACAGTTTGTTCCATGTCATGTTTAAAATTGATATTCTTTTTAGGTAAGGCGTAGTAAAAATGTTAACTAACTGAATTTCTGAACTGCAATGATTCAGTGCAATCTCCTTGTCCTACTGCAGTTCTCTAACAAAGTGAAACTTTATCTTGAACTGCTTGGTTCTCCCATGAAACATTGGATTCTTTGCAATTGCAACAGCAGATTGATTATCACACCTTATCTCTATTGCTTCTTCTTGTGTCAGATTCAAATCACACATAAGTTTGCTCAACCAAATTGTTTGGTTGATGGCAGTGATTGCTGCAATGTACTCTGCTTCTGCAGTGTACTATGTCCTGCTTCTTTGAGTTCCAAGCAAACTGGAGTTTGCAGCAAAGCAGGCAAGGAGTGTTAAACATAATAGTTGGCTCTGCTACTAGGAAATTGCAATAATGACTGGTGACTTTTTGATGACTTTTATTTTATTTTTTTTTAAATATAATATTTGTTGTGACTTTGAGTGTTTCAGAGATGATTCATTATGTTTAGTTAGGTAATTACTTTGAAACTTTGCTTTTGGCTTCAAAACCACTTTCTGTCATCTCTTCTTGTCTGCTTGCTCTTCTTTGCTCTCGAGCATAAAGAGCATTGATCAGTTTTGACAAGGATATGCTGGCAAGTCTCTTGAATCTTCAATGGTCAAAATCTCGGACTCATTTTTCAGGAAGAGCGGCAATAATTTTCTCAACAACCTTCTTCTCTGAGAACTCATCTCCAAGCAACCTGATATTGTTGACAATAGCCATGATCCTATTAGAATACTGATTCACAGTCTCAGTGTCTTTAATATTCAGATTCTTAAAGTCTCTTCTGAGATTAATAATCTGCAGCTATCTCATCTTCTCAGTGCGTTGAAACTCCTCCTTAAGCTTGTCCCAAGCTTGTTTTGGTGAAGCACAAGCCATGATCCTTATGAAGATCACATTGGATGCACCATTTTGGATGCTGGACATAGCCTTAAACTTCTTGGCACACTCGTCATTATGCTGCCTAATCTGAGCAATGGTAGGGGGAATTTTACAATATTTCTTAGATTCCATGACCTTTTTATGAATATTACTATGCTTTATTATCTTTGACATGTTCCTTTTTATGTGGTTGATCTATCTACACAATCCATTATGGAATCATCTTAAGTTATTAATAAATTGTTATCTTAGTCATTGCTATCAAAGTAGGTTTCAGTTAATACCAAATTGATTTTCAGTTTTTGGTGGGCTGGGGGGAGGGAGCATGGGAGTGATTATTAGCTTGGCAATTTAGGAATATAACTGTGTATTCCTGGAACATGGTTTCCCTATTTGTCTTACTCACAAATATATGGATCCCATCTACGAGTTTTGGAAATTAGCGAGTAAGAAGTATTATACCATTGTAGTACTCAATCATTACCTGTACCTGTCAAGTTGGTTTTTCTATGACATTATCATATTATCCTTAGCTTGGCCAAATTCTTATTAATAATTTTTAAACTAGATTGAATTTTCTGGATTGTTCTCTTCGTAAAATGGTTTGGCATTTTATCTATGTCGACATGCTACCGGCTATCAATTATTGAAGTTTTAAATGTAATATAGTATTTGCAGACGTATTATGCACTCTCTTTCATGATAAAACTATGAAATTAGGGATCTTTACCATATCTAGCAGGGAACTTTAACTATCTTGTAAATTTCAGCTGTGGGCATTCCATTTAGAAATGAAATTCAGTCTAGATTTCAATGTTATACTTTGCTAGGAATTGGCAAATTTCTGTTATAATATTCTTCTTTCCGGTCCTAATAGGCATCCAAAATCTCATCTGCGGTATGGCTATGTGGCGATTCCCACTTGCTAAGGTAATTTTGGTGGTGATCCTTCTTTAAGGTGTCTAAATATTTTCAGGTTCGATAGATATCATGCTCTCAAGTAATACCACCACCCTATTGTAATAATAAAGTAGAAAGTCAGGATCCGTGAGTTATAATAGTTAGAAGTATACTTCTGGCTGTATCTGATGAATGTTTTGTTTTTATGACTTGTTCAGTAACATATTAAAACAGTGTTTTTCAATTCTGATTAGTAGATATTAGAAAAGATTCACAAAACTGTTAAATTTATCCTTGTTGAGGCTTATTGAATTGAAAATTTTATTATACTGTTGGTTTGGTTATGCTGATATGTAATCACCCTGAAAACCAGAAAATACAAAGAACACAAAGGGTGGTACAAGAGTTTTTGCTGGAAAAGCTCTCACACTCTCTGATATTTCATTCAAAGGATATATATGCAATACAAAAACAAAGTTTCAAAGTAATTACCTATTATTAACTTCAAAGTATAAGTTGTCTCCCACTAGCTTACTTAACATAATGGATAATCCCTAAAATACTCAGTCACAACAAATATTATAATTTAAAAAACATAAAAATTCATCAAAAGGTCGCCAAAGTCATGTTTGTAATTTCCTAGTGCAGAGTTAGTCATTATGTTTAACACTCCTCCTTGGTTGCTTTGCTGCGAACTTCAATTTGCTTCCTTAATAGCTCAAATTTGACCTTAAGTTTAGACATGACAATTTGTATATTTGTGTCAGAATAATGTCATGCCCAAACAAGGTATTAGAATTTATGTGCCTAAACACGACATGATTAATTAAATGTGTCAAGATCCTAAACATAAATGTATGTACTTTGATTACATGTGTTACACGATTAACACGCTTAAAGAAAGTCAGTTTAAATTTTATACAACATGATTTTAACACGATTAAATAAGGTTAACACAATTTAATAACATATGTTATAATAAAATTATAACTCCAACGTTCAAATTTAAAATTAACAAAATAATAGTATCGATAAAATATGTTAAAAAATCTTCAAAAAATGTTTTATCAACATCAATCATAATAAATATTATATAAATCGACATGGTAACACAACACGACATGATTAATTAAACGTGTTAAGCGTGTCATAATTGTATTAAGCGTTTTTAACACATTTAAGACAACAATTGCCGTGTTTTAAATGTGTCAACACAATTAAAATATGAAACACGATTAGGCTAAACCCACTCGCGGTTTGTTTCATGTTGTGTTTAAAATTGCAAGTCTTTTTAGGTAGAGTCTTAGTAAAAATGTTAGCTAACTGAATTTTTCGACTGCTATGATTCAGTGCAATCTCCTTGTCCTACTTTAGTTCTCCAGCAAATTGAAACTTGATCTTCAACTGCTTGGTTCTTCAATGAAACATTGGATTCTTTGCAATTGCAACAGCAGATTGACTATCGCACCTTATCTCTATTGCTTCTTCTTGTGTCAGATTCTAATCACACATAAGTTTTGTCAACCAAATTGTTTGGTTGATGACAGTGATTGCTGCAATGTACTCTGCTTCTGTAGTGTACTATGTCCTTCTTCTTTGAGTTCCAAGCAAATTGGAGTTTGCAGCAAAGCAGCCAAGGACTGTTACACATAATGGTTGACTCTGCTGCTAGGAAATTGCAATAATGACTTTGGCGACTTTTTGATGACTTTTTTTTTTTAAATTATAAAATTTGTTGTAACTTTGAGTGTTATAGAGATGATTCACTATGTTTAGTTAGGTAATTACTTTGAAACTTTTTTTTTGGCTTGAAAAGCACTTTCTGTCACCTCTTCTTGTCTGCTTGCTCTTCTTTGCTCTTGAGCATGAAGAGCACTGATCAGTTCTGACAAGGGTATGCTGAACAAGTCTCTTGAATCTTCAATGGTCAAAATCTTGGACTCATTTTTCAGGCTTGGACTCATTTCTCAGGAATAGTGGTAATAATTTTCTCAATGACCATCTTCTTCGAATACACATCACCATGCAACCTGATCTTGTTGACAATAGCCATGATCCTATTAGAATACTGCCTCACAGTCTCACCGTCTTTTATATTCAGATTCTCAAAATCTCTTCTGATATAACTAATCTGCTGCTGTCTCGTCTTCTCAGTGCCTTGAAACTCCTCCTTGAGCTTGTCCCAAGCTTGTTTTGGTGAGTCACAAGCCATGATCCATGTGAAGATCACGTCGGACACGCCATTTTGGATGCAGGACATAGCCTTAAACTTCTTGGCACACTCCTTGTTATGCTGCTTAATCTGAGAAATGGTAGGTGGAATTTTACAATATTTCTTAGATTCCATGACCTTTTTATGAATATTACTATGCTTTATTATCTTTGACATGTTCCTTTTTATGTGGTTGATCTATCTACACAATCCATTATGGAATCATCTTAAGTTATTGATAAATTGTTATCTTAGTCATTGCTATCAAAGTAGGTTTCAATTATTACCAAATTGATTTTCAGTTTTTGGTGAGCTGAAGGGAGGGAGTGTGGGAGTGATTATTAGCTTGGCAATTTAGGAATATAACTGTGTATTCCTGGAACATGGTTTCCCTCTTTATCTTACTCACAAATATATGGATCCCATCTACGAGTTTCAGAAATCAGAGCATAAGAAACATTGTGCCATGGGAGTACTTAATTATTACCTATCATTTTGGTTTTTCTATTCCCCTTTCTGTTACTTCATGGTCTTTTATTAAGTTAAAATCTGCATGGTAGTTTCAAGGCTTGGAGGTTCAAAATCCTAATTTTGAGGTTGAAAATACTTGACTTTATTCTTGTTTATGTTTTTTTTCCTTCACATTTGCTGTGGAGGCATTAAAATGCTCGGTCAGTTGGCCAAACTCTTGTTACGAATTTTTAAACCTAGTTGAATTTTCGGATTGTTCTCTTCCTTGTAAAATGGTTTGGCATTTTATGTAGGTTGACATGCTTACAGCTGTCAATTTTTGAAGTTTTAAATGGTTCGTTTTGAAGGGATTTGGCAACATAAATCTGCAATTTTAGAAAATAATTCAAAAGTTGAACCAGGAACTCAAGGCCGCTAAAGACCTAGACAGATACCAGAAAGGCAGAAACCAAAAAGAATGCCCTCTAATTTTGCACAATTCACCAATTTACTACACTTTCAGAAAGTGAAAGAGAAAATACTATCCCTTGTTTCATGTTCTACATTTATTTAAATATTCTCTTACCAAATCCTTTTAAGAATAAATGAATTTGCACATGTGGAATATACATTCAACATAACTCAAACTCCTTTTACTAGTAGTTATCATGCAGGATTATTTCTTCTACTTTTATGAATAAAAACTAAAAAGTACCTAAGGCACCTGTTGCAACCACCAAGATTCAGAATATGAAATGATTTGTACCTTGGTTTAGTATAACCAATAAACTAGTGGGGATATTTTTTGGGGAAACATTTATGGCAATGCGTATGGATTAACACTTTTGTCTATTGGAAATATTTTATGTTGCAGAATATATCCTTTTCAAGTGGATTTCGCGAATCTGTCATAGAATCTCAGTTTTATATTTTCCTTTGTTCTTGATTATTTGCACAGGAAGAAAGTAGGGAAGACATTGAAATCATATTTAATTATAGTCTAGTAATGAAGTTGAGTACTGGAAAGCCCAATGTACACCTTTCTAGTTTCATGGTGAGTCGGCAGTTAGACTTGTTATGTTTCTGGATAGATTGTGATCAATTGTATTTCTCATTTTACTGGATGCCAAGGACTAGAAGTCTTTATATTTAAAAGTTTCAAGTTTAAGATTAGTATATTCCCTCACTAATATAGGGCACGCTGACATTCGGTTCTGACTTTTGAGCAATCTCAGGCTGGATTAAGCTTTTATGAAGCTTTATTTCATGAGAATTTGATCAAATAGCAGCTAATAGTTTCTATTGCATAAAAGAATTACATATCATGCTTTCAGTTTATGAATGTATATGTGTGTTTATGTGCATGCTCATGCAATTACCAATGCTGTTTTATCTTCTAATACTTTGGGGCAGTATGATTTTCCAGGCAATGACAATGTTAATGCTGTCCGTGCCTTTAGGTTATTCATATGGTATTCAAGTTTTATCAGACGGTTGCAACATTTGCAAAAGGTCATATTATCAGGTAACCAAAGATTTTGGTTAGAAATCATGTTCTTTATCTTCTGCAGATTTCTTTTGTATAATTTGGATCCCCTTGGATTTTGTTCACCCACAGTAATTCAAATTCAAATCTATGGCCACAGACAGGTTTATATCATGGTGCCATGGACTCATTTTGCAGAAAAATCCATTCTATCATCTCAAATGCTCCATTAGGATCTTGTAGGGAATTTTAGAAGGAAGGGAAAATTCTAAAAATACTCAAAGAATTATAATCCTGTGCTACAAATCTAAAACCATTTTCATGTTTTTGAATTTCAAAGATGAGACAAATGAAAAACCTGAAAAAGTTTCAAATGTCAACTTTCCTTTAAGAGAGAGTTTTAAGTGTCATAATCTTTTAACTTTTAATCTTCTGCACGTATAATCCATTGTAATTTTTAATCTATCCTATCATAACAGGAAATGTATGTAGTAATTGATAGAAATTTTAGTTCGAATTTTTCTTTTCTTCATTATACTTAATAAAAAAGGTTTAGTTGCGGAGTTGTGATTCTTCATTTATAAGATCAACAAATATATATATATATATATACACACACACACACACACACACATTTGCATTATAACTTCTGTTTTATAAATAATGAAAGCAAATTTGTTATTCCAACTATACCTCTATATATGAAGATAGAAAAATTCTAAAGAAAAGTGGCAGAAAGCGTTTTTAGGGTTTAGCGAAATTCTCAGGATCCATGAGTTATAATAGTTAGAAGGATACTTCTGGTTATATCTGATGAATGTTGTGTTTCTATGACTTGTTCACTAACATATTAAGACTGTTTTTCAATTCTGATTAGTAGATATTAGAAAAGATTCACAAAACTGTTAAATTTATCCTCGTTGAGGCTTATTGAATTGGAAATTGTATAATACCGTTGGTTTTGGTTATGGTAATATGTAATCACCCTGAAAACCAGAAAATACAAAGAACACAAAGGGTGGTATGAGAGTTTTTGCTGGAAAAGCTCTCACACACTGATATTTCTTTCAAAGGATACATATGCAATACAAAAACAAAGTTTCAAAGTAATTGCCTATCTATCAACTTCAAAGTACAAGTTGTCTCCCGCTAGCTCACTTAACAGAATGGATAATCCCTAAAATACTCAGTCACAACAAATATTATAATTTAAAAAACATAAAAAGTCATCAAAAGATCACCAAAGTCATGTTTGTAATTTCCTAGTAGCAGAGTCAATCATTATGTTTAACACTCCTTGGTTGCTTTGCAGCAAACTCTAATTTTCTTCTGTAATTTCCCAAATTGGACCTTTAGAATAGACATGACAATTTGTTTTTTTGTGTCATAATCACGTCATGTCTAAACAAGGTATTTGGAGTTACATGGCTAAATACGACGTGATTAATTAAATGTATCAAGATCCTAAACATGAATGCATATACTTTCATTATACATGTTCCTTGATTAACATGTTTAAAACAAGTTAGCTTAAATTTTATATGACATAATTTTAGCACGGTTAAATATGGTTAACACAATTTAATAACATACATAAAAATTAAACCTTAACTCCATTTAAAATTAACAAAATAATAGTATCCATAAATAGGTTAAAAATCTTCAAAAAATGTTTTATCAACATCAATCATAATAAACATGTTACATTATACAGATCGATATGGTAACACGGTATGACATGATTAATTAAACATGTTAAACAAGTCGTAATCGTATTAAGTATTTTTATCATGTTTAAGATACAAAATTGTCGTGTTTTAAATGTGTCAACACTATTAAAATATGAAACACGATTGGGCTAAACCCACACATGCTTTGTTCCATGTTGTGTTTAAAATTGCAAGTCTTTTTAGGTAGAGCCTTAGTAAAAATGTTAGCTAACTGAATTTCTGAACTGCAATGATTCAATGCAATCTCCTTGTCCTACTGCAGTTCTCTAACAAAGAGAAAGTTGATCTTGAACTGCTTGGTTCTCCCATGAAACATTGGATTCTTTGCAATTGCAACAGAAGATTGATTATCACACCTTATCTTTGTTGCTTCTTCTTGTGTCAGATTCAAATCACACATAAGTATTCTCAACCAAATTGTTTGGTTGATAGCAGTGATTGCTGCAATGTACTCTGCTTCTGCAGTGTACTATGTCCTGCTTCTTTGAGTTCCAAGCAAATTAGTGTTTGCAGAAAAGCAACCAAGGAATGTTAAACATAATGGCTGACTCTGCTTCTAGGAAATTGCAATAATGACTTTGGTGACATTTTGATGACATTTTTTTTTTAAATTATAGTATTTGTTGTGACTTTGAGTGTTTTAGAGATGATTCACTATGTTTAGTTAGGTACTTTGAAACTTTGTTTTTGGCTTGAAATGCACTTTCTGTCACCTCTTCTTCTTTGCTTGCTCTTCTTTTTTCTTGAGCATAAAGAGCATTGATCAGTTCTGACAAGGATATGCTGGCAAGTCTCTTGAATCTTCAATGGTTGAAATCTCAGACTCATTTCTCAGGAAGAGCGGTAATAACTTTCTCAACAACCATCTTCTCTGAGAATTTATCTTGAAGCAACCTGATGTTGTTGACAATAGCCATGATCCTATTAGAATACTGCTTCACAGTCTCACTGTCTTTTATATTCAGATTCCGAAAATCTCTTCTGGGATTAATAATCTGCCACTGTCTCGTCTTCTCAGTGCCTTGAAGCTCCTCCTTAAGCTTGTCCCAAGCTTGTTTTGGTGAGTCACAAACCATGATCCTTGTGAAGATTACATCAGATACACCATTTTGGATGCAGGACATAGCCTTAAACTTCTTGGCACACTCCTCAATATGCTGCTTAATCTGAGCAATGGTAGGTAGAAATTTACAATATTTATTGGATTCCATGACCCTTTTATGAATATTACTATGCTTTATTATCTTTGACATGTTCCTTTTTATGTGCTTGATCTATCTACACAATCCTTTATGGAATCATCCTAAGTTATTAATAAATTGTTACCTTAGTCATTACTAACAAATTAGGTTTCCGTTATTACCAAATTGATTTTCAGTTTTCCCTGGGCTGGGGGGAGGGAGTGTGGGAGTGAGGGAGTGATTATTAGCTTGACAATTTAGGAATATAACTGTGTATTCCTGGAACATGGTTTCCCTCTTTATCTTACAAATATATTGATCCCATCTACGAGTTCAGAAATCAGTTAGTAAGAAAATTGTGCCATGGGAGTTCTTAATTATGACCTGTCATTTTGGCTTTTCTATGATGTTATCATATTATCTAAATAAATTAATTACTACTTTCTATTCCCCTTTCTATTACTTCATGGTCTTTTATTAAGTTAAAATCTGCATGGCAGTTTCAAAGCTTGGAGGTTCAAAATCCTACTTTTGATGTTGAAAAACTTGACTTTATTCTTGTTTATGTTTTTTCCCCTTCACATCTGCTGTGAAGGCATTAAAATGCTTGGTCAGGAGGCCAAACTCTTATTAAGAATTTTTAAACCTGGTTGAATTTTCGGATTGTTCTCTTCCTTGTAAAATGGTTTGGCATTTTATATAGGTTGACATGCTAACAGCTGTCAATTTTTTAAGTTTTAAATGTTTCAGTGGAGGGATTTGGGAACATAAATTTGCAATTTTAGAAGATAATTCAAAAGTTGAACCAGGAACTTAAGGCAGCTAAAGACCTAGACAGATACCAGAAAGGCAGAAACCAAAAAGAATGCCCTCTAATTCTGCACAATTCACCAATTTACTACACTTTCAGAAAGTGAAAGAGAAAATACTAACCCTTGTTTCATGTTCTACATTTATTTAAATATTCTCTTACCAAATCCTTTTAAGAATAAATGAATTTGCACATGGAGATTATATGAGTGGCCTTATCGTTTTCATGGGTATCAACAGTATCCATGAATGATAAGGCTCACAAGTTTTTGAATTGTTTTAGTTTTTGTGTAGATAGGGTTGTACATTTCCATGTGCAAAATACTTATGTTCTTATTCTAATATGTTACTGTTAATCTTGCCACCAATGTGGAATATACATTCAACATAACCCGAACTCCTTTTACTAGTAGTTATTTTGCAGGATTATTTCTTTTACTTTTATGAATAAAAACTATAAAGTGCCGAAGGCACCTGTTGCAACCATCAAGGTTCAGAACATGGAATGATTTGTATCTTGGTTTAGTATAACCAAGAAACTAGTGGGGATATTTTTGGAGAAACATTTATGGCAAAGCATATGGGATTAACACTTTCGTCCATCGGAAATATTTTATGTAGCAGAATATATCCTTTCGAAGTTGATTTACCAATTCGGTCATAGAATCTCAGTTTTATATTTTCCTTTGTTCTTGATTATTTGCTCACGAAGAAAGTAGGAAGACATTGAAATCATATTTAATTATAGTCTAGTAGTGAAGTTGAGTACTGGAAAAGCCCAACATACACTTTTCTAGTTTCATGGTGAGTCAGCAGTTAGAGTTGTTATGTTTCTGTATAAATTGTGATCAATTATATTTCCCATTTTATCAGACTTCCTTACTAGAAAACTTGCTATTTAAAAGTTTCCAGTTTAATATTAGTATTTTCCCTTACTAATATAGGGCACGCCGACATTCGGCTCTGACTTTTGAGCAATCTCAGGCTGGATTAAGCTTTTATGAAGCTTTATTTCATGAGAATTTGATCAAATAGCAGCTACTAGTTTCTACTTCTTAAAAGAATTACATATCATGCTATTGGTGTATGAATGGATATGTATGTGTATGTGTATGCACATGCAATTGCCAACGCTGCTTTATCTTCTAATACTTTGGGGCAGCATGATCTTCCAAGCCATGACAATGTTAATGGTGTCTATGCCTTCAGGTTATATTCCTGTGGTATTCAAGTTTTATCAGGCGATTGCAACGTTTGCAATGGGTCCTATTATCAGGTAACCAAAGATTTTGGTTAGAAATCATGTTCTTTATTTTCTGGAGATTTCTTTTGCATAATTTGGATCCCCTCGGATTTTGTTCACCCGCCATAATTGAAAATCAAATTTATGGCCACAGACAGGTTAATATCATGGATCCCTGGACTCATTTTGCAGAAATATCCATTCTGTCATCTCAAATGCTCTCATTAGGATCTTGTAGAAAATTTTAAAAGGGAAAATCTTTGGAATTATAATCCTGTGCTACAAAACTAAAACCATTTTCATGTTTTTGAAATTCAAAGATGAGATAAATGAAAACACTGAAAAAGTTTCAAATGTCAACTTTCCTCTAAGAGAGAGTTTTAAGTGTCATAATCTTTTAACTTTTAATGTTTTGCACGTATAATCCATTGTAATTTTTAATCTGTTCTATCATAACAGAAAATGTACGTAGTAATTCAAAGAGTTGGATTCGAATTTTTTTTTTCTTCGGTATATTTAAAAAAAGAAGGGTTTAGTTGCGGATTTGTGATTCTTCTTTTAAAATAAGATCAACCAATATATGTACATTTGCATTATAACTTCTCTTTTATACATAATGAAAGCAAATTTGTTATTCCAACTATACCTCTATATATGAAGATAGCAAAATTCTAAAGAAAGGTAGGAGAAGGTGGTTCTAGGGTTTATTCTGTTAGTATCAAATTAATTGATTTATACAGTTGGTTTTAAGAAATAATATTATTTAAATAATTTTAAATTTTAAATTTTAATATCTGTAATATTTTCTTTTATGTCAAGACAAGGCCTCCTTTATTAACAAAAAAAAAAAAACTGATTGAAAGACAACCTCATGCATGCAGTATTTAATACGTGGTAGGTATCATTAAAATCCAGCTTTCAAAACCATTAAAACATCAAAACTAGGAAAAGCCAAAAATAGCAACAAAATTTAAAGAATCAATTAAAAAGGAAAGAAACATCCAAATACCAAAGAATAGAAAATTTTCCAAGCCCCACTCTCCCCAGAAAGAATAAAAGAGAATACCCCACTATTGGTATCTGGGTCCCATAATTTGCATGGGCAAATATTTCCACGTGGCCTACTTGCATGTCCACGTATGGTAGAAAGCATTAGAAACGCTCCTTTACATAGTGTTTATCTCATGAAATATCAAAATTTTGGCAATATTTTCTTGACATGGTAACTTCATTATGATAGTGTGAGAAGGATTTTCTCGAGAAACCCTAGAAACGTTCCCTCACTTTACAAACATGCACGTTTTACTACCCTTAGAAGCTCCTATATATTCACCACCCACACTTTCACCTTCATTCCCACCAAACACTCTCCCTCTCTCTCTCTCTCTAGATATCTTTTTATTGTTTTCTTCTTCTTTTTCTGAGAAAGCCTATCATTTCCTCTCTTTTCACAATGGAGAGAGCAATGGTTAGCTCAGTTTATAAAGGGAGAGGAAGAAAGAGAAGCAAAAAAGGAGAAGAGAGTGAGAACTCATCAAAGAGTGCAAGAATGAGTGCAAAGGCAAGAACAGATGGACATAGGGCTAGGAAAGCTCTATCCACCATTTCCAATAACCGAACCATAGTGACAAGGTCGATGACAATGAAAGCTATGGAGAAGAAAGATGAAGGAATGTTGTTTGATGTTGAGGTTGTTGAGGCTAAGGAAGAGGAGAAGAATATTGAGGCTAAGGAAGAGGAAAAGAACAATGATAACAAGCCTGTGGACCTGGTGCCCGGGAATGAGGTGATGGTGGAGAATAAGGGAGATGATGGCGGGTTGTTGACCTTGGACGACTGGCCATCGTCATGGAGTTGTGAGGAGGAATGGTCGTGGTTCAAAGCGGGTTATGAATATGGATGGCATTCCAATTGGGAGACCATGAATGGTGATTTTTGGGCTCCCAGAGATGATAACGAGGAGGCTGTTTGGAGCGATAATCTATGGAACTTTAATGACAACAATGAAATCCCAAAGCCTTAGAAGAAAAAGTTTGTTATGTTTCAGTCTGTCAATAATGTTGTTGTCTCTCTGTCTGTTTGTTGATTGTGTGTGTCTTAGAGAGACAAATAAAGATGTCTTTAGGTAGAAGTGCGTTATTGCAAACAACTGTTCTTATGCTGTTTCATTCAAGTATTTTATAATATCAGTTTAATTATGTGCTTTAGTTTTTGAATGCTGATAATTTCATCCTTCACTTTGGGGTACAAATTAACTTGAAAGAACATATATAAGAATTTATTTTCAAATAACCACTAAATATTCATTCTACGTTACACTTGAAATTTAAATATAGCCAATAGGTTCTAGTTGGTGGAAATTCAATTCTCTCTGTCATCTCTATCTCTCTCTAATTTAATCTATTTTCTCAGGTTCAGTCAATTAAAATGAAGTGTACGTGTGTAACTCTCATCACTCAGCGTTCTTGCAAATACTTGGCTTCCCTTGCCATTGAAAATTTGCTTTTTTGAAGGTTTGAATATACAGTATTACTTGTCGTAATTAAATTTAATTCTGTGACAAACATATCTTCCTTTAGCATGTATTGATTCAAAGACATATACTCCAAAATTCTAATCATATGAATAAAGCAGGTTCTCTCCAAACCCTTCTTTAACCTGAACCAACATTATAACCAGTGAGATCATTAAGAATACTCTATCAAAGTCTGGTCTTAGAATGCAGCAACTCTTTCTAATAGGAGAATCAACAAAGCTTTGCAAAGTCAAAAACAAATGAAGACAGAACTGAAAAGTGAAAATATATATGAACAACTACAAAAAGTGTTGGTATTGATGTTATACATATACATATACATATATGTGTGTGTGTGTGTATTTATATATATCTTGAACTTGTAGATTTGTGGAGCTCCTCAATTTAAAGATTGCATTCAATGTTGGTCTTGACAGTTAATTGTCAGTAACGAAAGCAATATGCCAAAATTACTGGAATAAAAGCATTAGATCTTAGATGATGTATTGACCTTTAACGGTCACGATATATGATACGATAATTTCAATATTGCTCAGGGTTAGACTTGTAGTAGCTTTTAATCTCGAGAAATTGAACTTATCGCAGGCAAAACAAGACAATCTAATCTTTCGATTTATGGAAGGTATATATAGTCTCAAAAATGCCATTGTCGCGGTTAGGATATTGTGAAACATTTATTAGGGTCTTCATACATAATTAGTTCCTGTAAGTGTGAGTTCCAACCAATGTAAGTATTATTTTCCTATCATATCCTCTTCATTTATATGTTTAGTTATGCAAGTTAAAGTCTGGCCATTGGTATCGTTACTAATATTTAAGCTTCTAAATTAAAAATCTTATCAATGTTTGTTTTGTTGGAATGCCTTATGTGCCTTTTATTTTGCAATTTGATGAATGTATATAGTTCAAAGGCAAGCTTAACTCTTTGTGATGTGATGAGATTCCTTCATATATAGGGTGTACATATCATTCAACAGTTGAACCTGCTGAGCTACCCCTGCTAAAAGCTAGACTTTTTGAGTAATTGAGCTTCAAATATAGATTGAGAGACAACTTGTTGAACTAGCTTCTTTCAATGCAAAGTCAAAGCTATGGTATCGCCTAAGCTTGTTTGGTGAGTTTGGACTAGGTTTCAATTTGCGTAAGCATCACTTATGATAGGCGAAACAACTCCCGTTGATTGTTAAAATTATGGAAGTTGCAAGCCATAACGGACACCTATAGTTATCATAATGAATCTCGCATGAAGCTCCCATGTGAAACAATTGAGTTCTTGTGACTTCTATAGGATACATAGTCACTTTGCATGATAAGCAGAAAATTTTAGTCTATGGTTTCTTAGAACAAGTTTATGATCAAGAACTACTTCATACATTATGTTATAGTAATTGATCTTAATTCTCTTTAACTTCTAAAAAGAAAGTGTTTAACCTTATGTTTTGGAACTAAGCAAGCAAGGGCTTGTTAAGCAAAGAAGAAGGTTTAAACTTTGAAGTAGAGATTTTCTTGTAAGTGGCCTATGGCTTTGTCACTTCCATGTGATCTAGGTTGTGCCTAGGTTCTGAAATTTTCCTGGAATTAACTTGAAATTTATATGTTTAGTCCAAAATAATCTAAGAGAAGGGTGCAAACAAGCTTGGATTGGTGATTGATCAGGCCTTTATTTCTTGGGTTTTTTGGTATATAAGAGGACCTGAAGATAAGAGAAGAGATAGTAAGTGTTAGGATTCGAATCCAAAACTTGTTGGACACCACCACTTGATTATGATTGCATGAACCAATTGAGTTTTATCAAGCCTTTATTTTTGGTTAGACAAAGTAAATCAGCCAGGAACTCCACGTAAGGAGAAGCTAAAAACATATGTAAAGTGTGAAAAATGTGAACAAATGCTAGAAGTTTTGACCATTTGCAAAATCTATAGTTCAAAACTTGCGGTATGCTTTTGTATGTACCCCCAAGGGAGTTTGATTCATTTACAGAATCTTATTCAGTAATTGATGACTTAACAATACCTTTGTGAATTTGTGCCCAGACACAAAGTTGAAGCGATTCAATTACTGTGTGATGGTCGAGGACAGATTTAGCCCGCATTTGGTGGCATCTTGAACATGATTTTTTAGATTCAGGTCCATCTTAGAATATGATTATATTAATAAATAAAATATTTAATTAAATTTTATAAAAATACAAAAATATTAATATAGTTTTTAATATTTTAATAATAAACTTATTGTAAACGGGTGGGCCAAATTTGGGCCTAAATTTTAAAGTTTTATTAAGCTTGGTCCAGTTTGATTTGAACACTTCTCATTGATAGTCTGAAGGTATAAATATTTTTTGAATGCTATTCATTCCAAGAAACTTGTTATATTTTGATTTTTTTTAGTAATTTAAATTTTGATATATTATTCTTGTATATTTATTATTGAGAAATATCTGAAAAAAATATAATTTAAAAACTTAGAATGGAGTAATTTTTGAATATATGTTTTGTAAAATTTAATTAATTAAAATATTTAAAATAATAGAGGTTGAAGTTAAAACTTTTTTATTACAAAAAGTTAGCTATGACAAATTAATTGGGAAAAAGAACTATATGACTGCTATATAATAATAAATTAATTCTTAAAAAGATTGATTGATTCTAAGGTTAATGTTAAGATAAGTTAACCTGATAATTTTAAAATAATAAATATACAAAATTTTGCCAATGAAACCTTGGTTTTGTGATTTAAAAAAAATTGAGATCTTAAAATCCTAAAGTCATAGGTTCAAGTCTGTATGTGGATTTTGTTCGATTTTATGTAAATTTATTTAATTATATTCTAATTGATTGGTTAATTATTTAGTGATTATGTAATACGTAATTATGATTATAACTTCTCCTGTACTTATAATTTTATAAAAAATACAAAATTTACTTTATGTTACAAACATTATCATTTCAAATAATTAAGTTGTAGTTTGATTCTTCAACAATTCTACAATCTCTTAAAGTTTTTAAAAGCAATTCTTCAACAATTTCGCAATCTGTAAAAGTGGCTAGATGCAAAGGTTAACATGCTATTTTAAAAAAAAGAAGTTAATGAGAATAATTCTAACGAACGTTTGATTAAAGTGGCAAAAATGACAATCAGAGTATACTTTTCTCTTGATTGTTTGGTTTGAAATAGCGGATAAATTGTAAAAAAATAATTTTTCATAAATTTATTAAGTTCGAAATAAATTAACCTACTTAAATTTATCAAAACAAAAAATAAATACTGAACAAAACTTAAAAATTTACTACCTTTAAAAACCAAAAATAATGTATTAAATGAAAAACTATTTTTTTTAAATAAAAATTTGACTAACATTAATAAATCCGGCAACGAAATTGCGTTGAGGATTAGGGTGCCTTGCAAAAGTTAAAAAGGAGATTTGAAGGAGTTTTGAAAGGGGCCATGGACTTTACAAGAGGGAAAGATGTTGGTTTTTTCTTTTTTTTTTTTTTGCATTTAGCATATATTTATATGAGTATTAGCTTTTTCATTATATTTATGCATGCAAATTTCCTTATCAGTTGTTTTGTGCAAAACACTCTATATTTAATGTTTTTCTTTTTTGTCTTTCATTCAATATTTTTTGAAGAAGTATTTTTTTCTTTTGTCTATTAATTATTACAAACTATTGCGTTAGGAAGTTAATTTATACTCTATTTATACAATAAGTTTATTTTCAAAAAAAAATAAATTTCCATCTCTTTTTGATAATTTGGCTAAAGATGAATTATTTGAAGCCACGTTAATGTTGACGAAGCAAAAGGCCTAGACGGTGAAGAAATTGATGAGGATGAGATTGAGAAAATCCTATTTTTACTGGGTTAAAATTAATAATAATAATAAAAAAACCTACATTCGCCAAACCCAATTCTTGAGCTAATAGCTTGGAAATGGTGATATTCTTAACTTATATTAGTAAAATCTATATAAAAGGAAAACATGAGAGATTGATATATATTAGAGATTAATACATGAGATATTTAAAAGCAAGTAATTGATTTGAAATGTATTGTACATTCAAATCATCAATTGATTACTTCTTCGATTTTCTTTAATCTTTTGACAATTGTATGTATTCCAATAAATTTAAGGAAATATTAATATCTTCAATTTTTTTAATCATTGTAATCCCTTTTTTTAAAAAATATAAATAAAATTTTCTTTGATGAAAGAAAATCTTCAATTTATATGTTAAATATGTTTGCATTAATAGAATTGTGACCTACGTCTGTATCAACAATACACATGACAATAGCTCTTGATATGAAAGAGCTTTGCTGTCACTCTATGAGTGAAACTTTAAACAACAAATAAAGAGCATTGCAACATTTTCTTTTATAAGTTTTATGATTGAAATTAATGGTTTGCAATGTCATGTAACTTAATGCATGAATTATTTCATACCAATATGTAACTTTGTTTTTTTTTTTTTTTTTTTAATAAAAATTCAAATGTCATAGTCTATATAAATAATATTTTACGGATGATATTATCATGTTCACGTTACTGCCATCTACAAACATTAAAACTGAATTTTCCTTCAATTTTTAGTGGAGGAATACACAAATCAATCATAAATTAAAAAAAAAATGAAGTTGGTTTTTTATTAAAAGAGAGAAAGGGTGTTTGTTGAGTAAAAACTGAAAAGATTTGGTCAACAAAGTTGATGGTAGGATAAAAAGATTTCAACTAATTTTCTTGTCAAGTGAAAATCAAGATTGGATAGGATTTGAATTAATTTGTTGGAAGGATTTTGTCAGCAATGCAAATGAATTCAGGACTCTCAGTCTCTCATCTCATCAGTCTTTTGTTTACTATAAAAACCAAAATACTGAAATCAAAGCTCAACTCTAAAATATCCAAGAAAAAAATGAAGCTCTTCTTCCATTTTCTCTTGTTTTGTTTCTTTACTCTTTTGTTCAACACTTGTTCTGCTGGCAATGTAACTTATGACGGCCGCTCTCTCATCATTGATGGCCAACACAAGCTAATCATTTCCGCTGCCATTCATTACCCCCGCAGCGTTCCTGGGGTCAGTCACTTTTATCCATTCAGTTTACGTGCTACTATATATGCTTCAATTCCAAAGTCATGTAATTGATGTCACAATTTCTTTAGGGCCGCAATGATTTTCCAAACCAACTTTCTTCATCGAATTTTGCTTCTTTCATAGTTTAAGCAACTCACTAATTGCTCGTTTCTCCATTTTAACTGTTTTCTTTCGAACATACATTCTGGATTTTTCATAAGCTCAATCTTCAACTGTAATGTGGCAGATGTGGCCAGGGCTCATTCAAAAAGCAAAGGAAGGAGGGGTTGATGCAATTGAATCTTACGTGTTTTGGAATGGCCATGAGCTTTCTCCAGGAAAAGTGAGTTCTTCAATCTGCTGCTATGGTTTGTGGGACGAACATTTTTCAAAATGTGATATATTTTTTTGATAATTAAGCTCAAAGTTTCTGACCATTTAATGTTGATTTGCAGTACAATTTTGAAGGACGATACGATCTGGTCAAGTTTGTAAAGCTTGTTCAGCAAGCTGGGATGTATATGATTCTTCGAATTGGTCCCTTTGTAGCAGCTGAATGGCATTATGGGTGTGTATTTTTTTTTTTATCATAGATTTAAAAAAGTTAGCATTTTAATGCATGAAGTCACTGAATTAAACATTTATTAATATTTGATAATATTAAAACATCTAGGAGCTATTGGTTCCTTATATGGATTATCTAAAATGTGTATAATACAGGGGAGTACCTGTCTGGTTGCACTATGTCCCTGGAACTGTGTTTCGAACTGATAGTGAGCCCTTCAAGGTAAGAAATTGGAACTGTTGGTGTCTCAGTTTAGGGAATAGTGGCCCTAGCAGTTATCTTTGCTTTCATTGTTAGCTGTTAAAATTTGTGCTTTTGTTATCAAGTGCTAACTTATTGAGTTGGTTTGTTGTTGTGGTTCAGTATCACATGCAAAAGTTCATGACATTGATAGTAAACCTCATGAAGAAAGAGAAGCTTTTTGCATCGCAAGGAGGTCCAATCATCCTAGCCCAGGCAAGTACAAAACTAAACTTGGAAGTAGCCTTTGCAGAAGTTTTCCTTTTTGGAACAAACTCATCTGAGCGGTGCATTAAAGTGTGCTCTAGCCCCCTCTGTTCCTTTTCTGTTTATTACTTTCCAATACATCTTTAATCACCATTCACATGTATCTGGTTCAAAATTCGTTGTTGGATCATACACGTGAGTTTTAGAATCTAACTATCTCAGTTATGACTAGTTTACTTAGAATATATTTTTTTCTTGATCGATTGAGTGAGATGCTTGTTAATCACTGCCTTAGTTAGGAGGATATCCACTTTCTGAAGAAATTGAGTTGATTTACATCATACATTATATATGTTTTTCTTGAATAGGTGTGTGAAGTATTTAAGTGAAATTTCATGAGTTATTACTGAAAACAATACTAGGTAGCAGTCAACTTTCTAGTCATGCCGTCTGAATACATTGAAAAGGATGAAACATCAGCAGTTTTTACCATAGGAAGAAGAAGCTGTGTTAGTTTATGCTTATTTTTTTCTCCTTTTCTATTTCCCTTCTTGCTTAAAGCATTTTTGTTTTTTTTGCCTTTGAATTTATTCAATCAAATGATGTGCTCCCCTCCCCCTCTTAGCAATTACTTTTACAGTACATTAAACATCTTCCTCTAACTGCAGGTTGAAAATGAATATGGAACATATTACGAAAAATTCTATGGAGAAGGGGCAAAGCGTTATTCCCAATGGGCTGCAAAAATGGCAGTTTCTCAGAATATTGGAGTACCTTGGGTAATGTGCTGGCAAGAGGATGCTCCTGACCCTGTGGTGAGATTTTCTTCACTATTCCCTTTTGACTTGGACATTCTCTACTAAGTTACATCTTCTTATAAGAGCATTAGTGGAAGGTCCTAACTGCCTTAAATCTGTTCTCTCATTTTGTCTTCGATTGGCACTGCTTGTCTTTTTCTAGATCTACTCCTTTTTAGTTTATCTTTTCTTGTATGACCATACATCTAACAATCATTTTCATCTTAGCTATGTTCATTCTCTGCCGTAGATACTTAGTTGGCTAACCATTAAGTGCCATAATATATTGCTGGGCATATCTATGTTTGAAATAAAATTTCCTTTCTACTTAAGTGGTATTTTGTGTCCAGACAAGGCGCCATTGCATTCCTCAATTTCATCCAACTTGCTTGGGTTGTATGGTTGACATTTCTATCAGTTTCATAATTATTTTGAATGGGAAAGGGCAAGATGTCAAATACTATTTTGGGCTATGATAGTTTTCTTCCTTTCAGATCTACATTCTTACATTAAGAAGCCAAATACAATTTGCTTTTATAATTTTAACGATTTCCTTCCATAAATAACACTTAGTGATCACTCCTGTCTAGCAATGTTCAATAACATTTTATAAGCAAATGTCTTGCTTTCTCTTTTCTTCTTGTCATTTTCTGTTCCCTACCTGTACACATATTACATAGTTAAATATTGTTTTCATGTTTTCATGAAATGAAGAACTCATGTACCACGGTCCTAGCATCTAATGATATTAAAAAGATAAAACGTCCCCGAAACCATCCTGCTAACCTATGTCAGTCAATATTTTAGGAATCCGAGGTAGCTGCTGCATCTCTATCTGCATCTTAATGCATGCATTATATTCCTGCGTACAAATGATTAGCAGCTAAACTATGGTTGTTGGGTTGATTTTCAGGATTGTTAAAATTCAGTGTAACATTCTTTGTTGGACACATATATTGTCTGTTTTAAAAACATTTATGCTTCTTGCTTAAGGGTTTTCGTTTAAAAAAAAAGTTAATTGTGTAATGGCTGTTTGTGATAAAAGGAGATTTCAGAGTCCATTGCTTTTATTTATTTACGTAATAAAAAAAATTGATTTATTTATCATTCAGCTTAAACCATAGGCTTCTGTGTTTCTTCTATTTTGCAGATAGATACTTGCAACTCCTTTTACTGTGATCAATTCATACCTAATTCTCCCAAGAAGCCCAAAATTTGGACTGAGAATTGGCCTGGATGGTTTAGTTTACCTATTGTTGCAATTGTGTAATTGCAAGTTTGGACGTGTGTTTGGTAGTCTTGCACGTAAAATGTTCTTTTGTTCTTTTGTCCAAATGTAAGGTTTGCATCTTTTGAAGCATCCAGAAACAAATCACTTTATATGTAGGAAGCTTTATGATCATATGGTTTCTGTTTAGTTTTGCTCAAATCAGTATTTTGCCTTTCCAGGTTTAAGACATTTGGGGCAAGAGATCCTCACAGGCCAGCTGAAGATATTGCTTTTTCTGTTGCTCGGTTTTTTCAGAAAGGCGGAAGTGTACAAAATTACTACATGGTGTGCTAGTCAATCTTAGTGTCTCAGAAATCTTTTTGAACAAATGTGGTTAACTTAATGTGTTTACTTGGTCATTCTTGTTCCTTAGCATCATCATTACCATTTTATCTGTGGTATAGTATCATGGTGGGACCAACTTTGGTCGAACATCGGGTGGACCTTTCGTTACAACAAGTTACGATTATGATGCTCCTATTGATGAGTATGGTAAGCTGTTCTGATGATACCTGTCAATAAGTGTATTCTCAGGGAGAGTGTTTGAGTATTTGGTGGATTCTCTTTCAGGGTTGCCTAGGTTTCCAAAATGGGGACACCTAAAGGAACTCCATAGAGCTATAAAGTTAACAGAGCATGCATTGCTAAAGAGTAAACCAACTACTTTATCACTAGGTCCTTCCCAAGAGGTAAGCTTTCCCTCTTTTATCCACATATTGAGTTTACCTAGATTAGGTGTCATGGTCCTAGAAAGGAGCCATGAATCCCACATCGGCTGTATATTAGAATTGATCATGAGATATAAGGGTTTACACTCCTTCAACTTATAAAATGTTTTTTATGAGATAAAATCGTGAGGCCATCGGGTCAGAGCGGACAATACAATATCTCATAACTTAGTCTGACATTAGGCCTGTGTAATTAAGATATTTACTTGGATATTTATTTGAGTCACTTGTTTCCTCTTTTAGTTTTTATTATTTCCATGTTATTGTAAAATTTGGCAATTTTGCAGATATATATAACTTACTGTTTTTATTAATGACTCAATTTCTTTTGATTGACCATCATTAGCTGAACAACCACTTCATTGCAGGCTGATGTTTATGATGATGGTTCAGGAGTATGTGCTGCCTTTCTTTCTAACGTGGATAATAAAACTGACATGAATGTAGTGTTCCGGAATGTGTCATATCACCTGCCTGCATGGTCAGTCAGCATTCTTCCTGACTGTAAGAATGTTCTGTTTAACACGGCCAAGGTAAATTTTATCTTTTATTTATTTATTTCTTTTTTTCATTTCCACATGTCAGTGCTTGAACATTTCATCCATTGCCTAATGTCAACAGGTAGGTTCCCAGGCCTCTGTAGTTAAAATGGTACCCGAGAAGTTGCAGCCATCGGTGGCATCACAATGTAAAGGCTTGAAGACTCTTAAGTGGGATATATTTGAGGAGAATGCTGGAATTTGGGGAGTAGCTGACTTCACTAGAAATGGTTTTGTGGATCATATAAATACCACTAAACATGCTACCGACTACCTCTGGTATACAACAAGGTTTGTATTTCTCTGTGCAACTGGTTAAGTTTTTGTCTTTCAGAGTTTATAGGGTTTAGGATGAATCAAGGATTGACTAATAGGCGCAAAGGGCATGCATTTTAGTAAAATAGAAGCATCTCATGTTGTTCCACCATCTATGGATTAATGATATGAAACTTTGGTGTTCATAGATTTATGAATTGCTCACTTTTTCTCCTGTCACCTGATTATCATTTTATATTATGCTTGATAGTTGTTTGATGTTTCTACCAGATACAGAGGTTATAACCGCCCGAAAGATACTGCTTTTTTTTTTTTTTAAACAAGGAATCATGCTGATATTGCAGGGGTGCAATGTCTTATTATATTAATTATGGGTGTTATATGCTGAGAAAGGATTGATAAAACTAGAGTGCAAATTAGGATGTCTGGTCTTTCTAAGCTTATAGTTATAGTAAGCTTTTTTCCCTTTCCTTTTTTCTGTTAAATTTTTGCTGCTATCTCTGAGTCCAATTGAAGCATATGGTATATTAGTACTATGCTAATTTGTGTAATTCTTTTCCCAATTAAAATCTTGTTGCCTGTGTTATCTATTTCATGAACTTGAAAACCTTCTTCCATTTGAGAAAACAAAGTTTCTTTATCTATAATATAGAAGCATTGTTTCAGTGGAAAGTTTGTATCTAAGATATTGAGTTTGTCTCATTGCACCAAGCTCGGGTATGCTAACATGATCAAAACTCAACCTGGCTATGGAGTGCATATGCCTTTAATTAGTATTATCTGGGTTCCGTGATATTCAAATACAGCCTGCCAGCTAAATAGAATGAGTATCCTTGAATTGCAGTATAATTGTTGGTGAAAATGAAGAATTTCTGAAGAATGGAAGCCATCCAGTCCTTCTTATTGAGTCAAAGGGTCATGCGCTTCATGCTTTTGTGAATCAGGAACTTCAAGGTTATTATTAATTAGTTTTCCAAATGTCCTTTTGACTTTTATGTTATTTGTTTTGAACTAATATCTTATATACAATGTGCATAAATTGTTGATAGGCATGTCGATATGCAATTTTCATCTTATATACTATCACTTCTCTTCATGTTACAATTTCTCTAGGCTAATTCATTGTTACAGTGTCATCACCCTGACAGTCGAATTTTGCACTTCCCAATTTTCTTGATCAGGATAAACAATTTAATTTAAAATTCATGGCTTGTTCAATAGGACCTAGTAGTCATAAATTTCAAAATTTTTGCTGACATTTTACAGGCAGTGCTTTTGGAAATGGCTCGAATGCATCCTTCAAATTTGAGAATCCAATTTCTCTCAAGGCAGGCAAGAATGAAATTGCACTTTTAAGCATGACTATGGGCCTACCGGTTGGTTATTCTTCTTTATTTCTAACATGTAAAACACATTCTTGCTTGCATGTTTGTTTAAGGATTCAAATATTTGTTTTGAGTTCCATTGCAGCAATGTTGGTTTTCACTCACACTCCAAGCTTTGTTCCCTTGATGCCTACTGCTTTCAAATTTTAGAATCATTTTTATTGATTGTTAAGGTTGTCCTAGATATTTTACTTATATATGGTTCTTCAATTTTTTCAAGTATTTTTTAATAAGATGGAAATATAACGGCCTAGCTGGCATCATAAAGGATTGGCCTCTTTCCTTATAGTATAATTTTAACTGGTAACTCGTGACCTTTGTGTTTTTTGATCTCTGATGATCTGCCTTTTAAAGTCGAAGTATTCCTGGTTTCAGAGTGCAGGAGGATTCTATGAATGGGCAGGAGCCGGACTAACAAGTGTCAAGATCCAGGGGCTCAATAATGGAACAATAGATTTGTCCATGTCCAGCTGGACCTACAAGGTTTTCACTTTATTGAGTTAGGGCCGTAATAATTTCTCTCATATCCAGCTTTATTTGATAGTCGAAGTCTCCATAGTGCTAAATTTTAAGTTGAAGAATGAAATATTCACAAATAGTTATAGCCTTTAAAATTCTGAAAGCCTTTTCTGCGTTTGTTATGCTATATGCAGATTGGATTGAAAGGAGAACACTTGAGAATACACAAGCCAGACAGATTGAATCGCGTAAATTGGGTGTCAACTTCAGAACCACCCAAAAATCAACCTCTGACATGGTACAAGGTAGAGATTCAGAAAAGACCCTTATTTCCTTTTCAAATTTACTTCAGGATAAATATGTTTTATTGTTTAATCTACCAACGTTAAAAAAATTTATAAGCACTTGAGCTATCGCAGGTTGTTGTGGATCCACCATCAGGGGATGAACCAGTTGGTCTGGATATGATTCATATGGGAAAAGGTCTAGTCTGGTTAAATGGAGAAGAGATTGGAAGATACTGGCCGGTAAAAACTTCTAAACACCAGGAGTGCGTACAGGAATGTGATTACAGAGGAAAATTTTTCCAAGAAAAATGCCTTACTGGTTGCGGAGAACCAACACAAAGATGGTAAGCCAAACCAGAAGATAATTAAGATACTGTTACACATGAACTCATAAGACTTCATAGTAATATAATTTCCTTGATTAAAAATGTGTGTTTCTTCTTGACCAGGTACCATGTTCCACGCTCTTGGTTCAAGCCATCCGGAAACATTTTGGTGATCTTCGAGGAGAAAGGTGGAGATCCAACAAAAATTACATTCTCAAAACGCAAAATATCAGGCCTATGTTCTCTCATTGCTGAGGACCCAATGGCGTACAAACCAAAACCAACTGTCCATCTAAAGTGCCCCAAAAATACTTCCATCTCTAATGTGAAATTCGCTAGCTTTGGAAATCCTACAGGAAGGTGTGGGTCTTACAGCAAGGGGCACTGCCATGATCCTAATTCAACATCGGTGGTAAAAAAGGTAAAGATTCACCTTAATTTCAGTTATATTTTTTTGTTATGTTCCTGGTTAAGATTGTAGCATCACCACAAAACTAATTTTCTTTTCCTAATGTACTCTGCCCGGTAGGTCTGCCTAGGTAAAAACGAGTGTGCCATAGAAGTAACAGAAGAGAACTTCGATAAGGGCTTGTGTCCTGGGACTTCTAAGAAACTTGCAGTTGAAGCAGCTTGCAGCTAAAATTACCAGTTCCAGCAGAGTTTTATTTATGCAGTAGGAAACTTTTTTCTCATGGTATTTTTGTCCATTGAGGTGGTTTGAAGAGCATAGATATGGGACTAGTAGCTGACTTGGATCTTAATATGTGGAATTTTCGTTTTAGCTCTTACAATCTGCAATGACATTTTATCTATTTCATATTAAATCAAATCCATCAATATTTAATAACATTAGAATTTATTAATCTGATTTTAAATTTTAATTTTTTGAATTTAAAATTTGGCTTTTGAATTGTTTTCAGCCTTCGAATTTTTGATTGGGTTTTGGATTTATCTAATTGGATTTGGAATTCTTGATGGGATTTGAAGGTCAGGAGCAAGTCGACCATTGATTTTTTGCTTTGAGCCTTATCATTTATCATTATTATTATTTCAAAATCAGAAATAAAAAAAAATCAAGTTTTATTGCATATTTTCCAAAGATTAATAGAACTATACCTGTATACGAAAAATCCTTACAAATTATTTTACAAAAAAAGTTCAAAATGAGTATTGAAGATGCTAAATTAATTATGTGAAAAAGAGTATTTTTAAAGGTAAAATGTTTATTTATTTTTAAAAGTAAAATGTTTATGTAAAAAATAAGTAGAAAAGTGCCCAAGAACGTCTCAAAGATTGAATGAACGATATTTTGAAATGATAATTATTTATATTTTCATGTATATTTTACATGGACATGTAGTTACATTATAGAGGACTAAAGGCTGAAATAACTACAAAAAAAACAAGAAAAAGTAAGCTAAAGACCCCAAACTGGTCAGCCATGGGGCTGCTAGTCTGGGCGTGAAACAGAGAAACAAAATCCCTACGAGGGAGGTAGCTCTTCCTTCCCACAAACAGCCAACATGCAGAAAAGAAACAACAGACATGAATAAGTTTCCACATGAACCGCACGTAATACAAGCCATGTCCCCAACAGCCCATCTATTGGAGAAAGAAAACTAGAAACAAGGTTGAAGCTTTAAGCTTCCACACACAGACCACACATAGAAGGAAGAAAGAAATAAAAAAAAAAAGCACACACGAAACAGGACGAAGCTTCAAACCGGTAGACGTGAAAAGGAGATACGTCAATCTTCTAGACACAGCCCACTCCCTTCCCCTGTTTTAAAGAGCCTCAGATTGCTTTTAAAAAATCCTCCTTTTAGCCTTAAACCCAGGAAATACAAACGCAACCAATGCACTAAGCTTCCATGATGGTAAAGAAAGAATCTTTTATGTACAGTGAGGTAAGACAGTTCCGAAGCTTGTGTATGGAAAACAGATTTTTAAAGCTTTAACCTTTAGAAACCCTTATTTATTTCTTATAATTTGGGAAGCTTAGGTTTCCTTAAATGAAAAGAAAAAAAACCCATCTTTTTAACATAATAGCCATCAAACACCAACCAAGAACGGAGCTTGAAGCTCTCATGTGGAATAAGATGAAACCGAGCCCTTCTCCAAAGAAATTCAGCTCAGTAAGCTGCCTTAAAGGGTTTTTTTTAAAAAGACCCACCCCATTTTTATTTAGCAAGCTTGCGTCTTTAACACTCTTTGTCTAGATGGAAAGCATGCAAATCTATATGAAAAACATCCAAACTTCTTTCCTACCGTAAATCCTATATGGAATATAAGAAAGTTGCTTTATCCTCCTAAACCTTATATGGAAAGTATGACCACTATCACATGCATGAAAACAAACTAGACAAGGAATAAAAGAGCTTCCTTTTCCTATAACCTTCCCAAAGTCGGTAGCTTTTTCTTTTTTTTCTTCCCTCTTTCTTTTGTTTTTTTTATTAGCTCCCAGACTTCCCTCTTTTTTTTTTCCCACACAACCTTTAGGATGGGCCCTCTCCTTTTCTTGTTTTTTCGGCTTGTTAACATGGGCATTGCTTGGGTCGTTCAATGGGCCATACTTGGGCTGTAATTGAGCCATAATAGGTCTTTAATTGGGCTATGTTTGGGCTGTATATTGGGCTACATGATGGGTTGATTTGGACTTTAAAAAATACTCTTGCCCCATATTGAGCCTTCAAACCCTATTAACCTAAAATTGAATTAAATTGGGTCTTAATCAATGTAAAAAACGAATCTGATTATTTAATACGAAATTGAAACATTCAAATCGTTCGAAATTGATTTATCCAAGCTTAAATCGCAACTGAACATGATCAAATTATTTTAGATAAAATTAAATGTTTATAATATCAAATTTAATATTTTAAAAAATGAAAAATTTTAAAATATTTGAAATATTATTGTTTTAAAAATGTTAAAATATATATTTTTTTAAAAATAAAATTTTTATTAATAATTGAACTAATATCATCAAATTCAACCTATACGTGAATGGATTTTTATGAATTAATTAGATAAACTAAAATATAAATTCATTTGAGTAAATAAATCATTTTTATAATTTAATAATTAATTTTATTTATCTAAATTATCATGTCAATAAAATCGATGTCATATCAACAAAATTAACTTTTACAATCACCAAATCAACAAACATTTTTAATGACAAAATTTGAAGGAGTTAAGGACTAAATTAAAATTATCAAATCAAAATAATATAAAAATTTAATTTATATGAATTATAATATAATAATTAAATATTATATTTTGATAGGGTACATATATTTCTTATATAATTTGGTCTATTTATTATTATTAATAACTATTATAAGATTAGAATTTTAGAACTTTTTTTTTTTTTTTAGTAATCCAACCTTCTTCCATTATCCCTAACAAGAAAAACCAAAAACCAGTCGCCAGTTTTACTCTCCCAAAAACCAGGAGCTACGGTATAAGAAAATAATTTTTTATTACAGTATTAAGAAACATGTTAGAAATTGGGGTCCACGTTTATATTTTTTGCCACGTCTTTTGGACGTGAATGAATGTTCGACACACATTCCTATTGTCTATCGTGTTCCTTCCCATGTCCTTAAAGTCTGAAAACTAATTAAAAACCTTATTGTTTTGAAAAATTTTATTCGTCAGTTGAAAAATCAAAACCCATGAAGAGAATATGAGATTTATTTAGACCACGCTTGGATTGAAATGAGACGTCCTGTGACATGATTGGAGTCAATTTTTTTACTTAAATCACGCCGGTTTTGGTTGCCAAAGCTGCGGCACCTTGATTCGATAATTGTCAAACAATTTGGCCCAACAAAGTCTAATTAGCACCTCGCACCAATTTTTTTTTAATTATTATCTTGAATGGTATAGAATATTGTTGGCTTAAGTATAAAAAATTATTAATAAAAATATAATAAGATTCGACTCTTAAATATGTATTTTTTATTTAATTAAATATTTAAATATTTATTTTTTTAAATTGAATCCTTAAGTATTAATTTTTATCTAATTAAACCAATAATTAGACGAAAATAATGATGGTAATTAATAAATTTTTGTTTAATAAAAATTCAATTGCTTAAAATAAAAATTTAAAAATTTAATTAATTGTAATAAAATAATAAAAATTTGATAATTATTTAATCTTTGAGATTTTTTTCTAATTTTTAATACTTTGGCCAATATTATTGATAATCTTTGGCGAATGAACATGGCTAGTAACAAATTATATTATAAGAATCCAATTAGATAAAGGTCCACCATTTTATAATTCATTTGGTGATATAATTCAACTCTTGAAAAGGGAGATTGTGGTTTATGAGATGGAAGCAAACTTCTTTTTATGTAACTCATGCTTTTCATTAGCAAAACATGAATTTAAATACTATACATGAAAAAAAATAATAAAATTCAAGTTAATGTGTGAACGGGCCTAATCAACATATTTATTATTAATAATTATTATAAGATTAGAATTTTAGATCCCACTTTTTTAGTAATCTAATCTTCTTCGATTATCCTTAACAAGAAAAACCAGAAACCAGTCTCCAGTTTTACTCTCCCAAAAACCAGGAGCTACGGTATGTTAGAAATTGGGGTCCACATTTGTAGTTTCTACCACGTCTTTTGGACTTGTATGAATGTTCCACAGATATTCCTATTTTCTTTCCTGTTCTTCCACATGTTCTTTACGTCTCCAAACTATTTAAAAATCTTTTTATTTATTTATTTATTTTTGTTTTCAAAAAAATTTATTCACAGTTGAAAAATCAAACTGATAAGAGATTTACCATTAAAAGTAGGATGTTACATATATATATATATATATATATATATATTCTCGTCATTTTCTTGTAGAGCAATTATCACATGATTTTAGGCAAAAGAGAAAAAAAGTTTTTAAATAAAAATTTAATAATTATTTAAATATTTAATATTTTATTATAATTAATTTAGTTATAAATATTTATTTAGAATGATTAAATTTTTAAACATTTATTTTATTTATCAACAAATAATTAGTCTAATTGATTAAAGTTCATCATTCTTCATAAAAAATTTTAAATTTGAATCCTGTCGATGATTATTTATTAAGATCATATCAAATTCATGATTTATAGTCACTTATTTTAAATTATCAAGTACAATATATCTTATCATAATTTGAGAGACTGAACAATCTATTTACATTAGATTTTTTATAAAAAAATATTATTTTATTCAATTATATTTTTTATTTTTTATTTTTATTCACTTAAAATTTTAATTGGACAAAAACATTTAGATATTTTTCTTTTAACTAAAACTCAATTAGTAAAAATAAATATTTAAAGATTTAATTTATTATAAAAAAATAATAAAATTTTGGATGATTATTGAATTTTAATTTAGACATTTTTTTACCTTTTTGCCAAGATTCTTACCAAATAAATTAGCTCTTAACATTTTTCAAAAGAATGATCTTGTTGTCAATATATAGTTGATTTTTAATAATTTAAATTTAACTTAATAGTTAGTCCAAATAATTCATTCACTTTTTTAAAGAGATAGATTCCAAAAAAATTAAGGTTTGAACTTTAACATTTACAAATTTTTTTTTTAAAATTTCTTAAACTTTGATCTCGTATCTAAAAAAAATATTATTAACTTAATGGTTACTGCTATTGTTGCTCTTTCTATTAAA